TTGAGGATGAATAAATATTGGTGCATTTTTTAAATGTCTTATCTTGAAAATATTCTTAAAGAAGTATATACAGTAAGTACTCAGCTTCCTACCACCTGACAGATGCAGTTCAGCATTAGGCTTTTGGTGCACCTGCCCCTCATCCCGTGTCCCACCTTCTACCCTACCTACCGTGATAAATTGACATTTATTATTCATACCAGTTCCTTATCCATATGTACAGTGTGATATTACTTTGCATGTTTACCCAGTCTATATAAGAGACATCCTGTATATGTTCTTCTTTGCAACATGTTTTGTATTTGGCTTTATGTTGTAAGGCTCATCATCAGGGATCAGCAAGTCTTTTTTGTAAAGAGCCAGATAGTAAATATTTTCGGCTCTGTGGGTTATGTATGGCCTCTGTCTCATATTTTGTTTGTTTATACTTTTTAACAATCCTATGAAATGTGAAAACTATGCTTAGCTGAAAGGATTTACAAAATAAAGGCTGCAAGCTGGATTTGATCCATGGATCATAATTTGTCCAGCATTGTCCTAAGTCATTTATTTTTTAAGACTGAGTAGTATTCTACTACATAAATATACTGTGATTTATTTATTTATTTTTGTTTTCCTGGTGATAGATGTTTAGGTTTTTTGTTGTTGATTTTTTCACACATAGTCTTACTACATAGCCCAGGCTTGCCGGCCTGGAACTCTGTGTAACATAGGTTATATATGATCCCAAGTGGAGGGATCAAAGGTGTGCATCACCAAGCCCACACAACTTTTTAGAACATTTACCTAGCATACCCAAAGCCCTGAGTCAGTCCCCAGAACTACTAAAATAAGAAAGGAAGAAGGGAGGGAGGGAGGGAGGGAGGGAAGGAAGGAGAAAGAAAAGAAAAGAAAAGAAAATCCACCCTATAAAAACTATTCTTAATTCATAATAATTTGTGCTATTATTTTCTGTTTGGTCATTACAAAACCTGTTGCCTTATGCAGCGTTTTGAAAAATAGCTAAGGTAAGAAAGCTTAGTATCGCTGAGCATTCTCTTCAGAGTCAGATTGGAATCAGCCTATAACCACTCTTCTTGTTTTTACTAAGACTAATTCCCAGATAATGTTCTCTGATCTCCCAGTCATATCTCCTTGTCTTTATTTTTGCCATCCATTCATTTAATAGTTAATCATGATGCAGGGCTCACAAAATCAGAAATGTTTATTGACCAGACTGGTAAATGAATGAGGCCAGCCAGGTATGAGACAAGGTGAATAGAATGGACAGAGCACATGCCCTATCCAAGGTGACTCACCTGTTGCCTATGGTCCAGTGTGAATTTTGCGGTGAGATAAACTTTCCTTTTGTTTAATTTTTTTTTTTTTTTCACATCGTTGTGCAACCATTCTCCAGGACATTTTTTTATCTTGTAAAACTATCCCTATTAAATTAAACTTGACAAGACTTTTTTTAGTGCAGCCAAAAAAGGTTTACTTTGGAATAAAATCCTGGTGTTTTTTTCTTTTTGTGGGTGGGTAGGGAAGAGGATAGTGGGGATTGGATGTAGGGCCTTCTGTTTGTTAGGCAGATGCTCTGCCACTTAAGCCAACCCCCCACCACACACACACACATACCCCTAGTCCTTTTAGTTAGTTTTTCAGATAGGGTCTTGGTTCTAAGGTTTGCCTGGCCTGACACGGAGCTTCAATCCACCTCTGCCTTTCAAGTAGCTGGGATTACAAGCATCTGGCCCCATACCCAGCCCTAACATCCCATATTTTAAAACAAAACACTCAGGAGACTGCCTGGTGATTAACTTTCAATACTTCTGTTGGTATCCATTATTGAAACTGCTTATGTTTATTTTTAACTTTCCATTAACTCTCTTGCCTATTCTGCTAGATTTTAGCTCCTTATGGCAAAAATAGTTTGCATTTGTTTTTATTCCCACACATAAACCATAATAGAAGTGTGTACAACACAGGTTTGATGCTCAGTAACTTGGGTTGCTTTATTTCTATGCTCTATGGAAAATGTGTGTTTGCGCTAATGTCATTTCCTGTGTGCATCTTGATTTTGACCTTTTACCTGTCTTCTTTAAAGAAGGTTGACAAAATGAGAGCCAAGGAATCTGGCAAGAGCTCAACACCAGGAGGTTAGAGCTTGCCAAAGATAACTTGAGGAGAGAGGTGTTTTAAACAAAGCCAGACTTAAAAATGGACTCTCATTGTTGGTATTCTCTCTTCCAAGGGTGAAAACTCACCACTCCAGCTTTATTTAGTCTCAGTAGTTAAGGTTGCTATAGATTGAGAGGTGTATTTTAAATATGAAAATGATGAATGACTTCATAGCAGTTTGCAGTTTACACTATGAATTTTCTGTTTTGTTTATGGCGATAGCCCATATGTCAGGCAGACATACCATTTTCTTTTACAGACGAGAGAATTGATGCGTAGGGAGGTTAAAGGATTTTCAAAGGCTATACAGCTTGCCTTTTAGACTCCAGGGACCAAATTCAGTATAAAACCAGCTATGCTGTAAATGTTTCCTACTTAGTCATATATCTTCAAGGAATTATTAGTACTCTGAATGTGAAAATCTAGAAACTTTTCTCCCATTTCTCTGTGATCAAGATTAAAGAGAATATAGCAACATGGGTTTGTTTGTGTTTTTTAAAAATATTTTTTAAACATGTGTTTTTAGAGGCAGGAGAAGGCTGGAATGAAATTGAGATGGGGAGAATTAAATAATACATTTTAAGCGTTTGTAAAGTTGTTTATAAACATGCACGTTTTTTAAAATGTTACATGAGTTTAGATATTAACGTCCTTCATTACAAAGCAAAGGTGGTGAAGCTCAAGGCATTTGGCTGGTCCTCAAGCACAGCCACACACAGATTGCATGTGCGTCTCGAAGCCTTGTTTGCTTTGTTCCATTACAGCACAAGGATTGACATTTGCAACACAGTCAGTTCTCTCCATTTATTATCACAGACCAAGCTCAAGGACTTAAAAGTACTTAAAAACCTTCACTCATTACGGCAGCATTTCTTACAACATTATTAGTAGAGACAGCACTTTGTGGGGTAACTGAGTATAATTAATTCACACTTGGATTTAAATGCAGCATGAGCCCTGGTGAAGAACATGCCATTTAGATTTTCTCTGCTGAGGTGTATGCAAGGGAGATAAATAAACTCTGTTAAACAGAACAAGTGGATAAAGGCTTTTTAGAGTCAGGTTGCTCTTATTCGTGGCAAATGAAGGCTGTTTACTACATTTAAAAGCAGGAACAAAGGAGAAATGGAAAACAAATCCAGAAACACTTCATGAGCAGCTACAAATGACCCTGTATGATAGTTTCATCAACAAACCCAGGAACAGAACCTCCCTTTCTAGTGGTTGAAATCTAAGTAACATGTTGCCCTACCACACTAGGTTCCTATGTATATCTGATGTTTTCAAAGACACTGCTTAAAACTTAATTTTTAATAGAGAAAATGCCAAAAAAAAAAAAAAAAAAACCAAATCCTGTTTTCTCCCCTTCTAAACTTCATGCCTCTTGTAACAAACTATAAATAATCAGATGCATATGTGCCTGAGCATCTTAAATACTTTAGAACTGGCTGGAGCCACAGAAGAACTCAGTGCAGCTCTCTCTAGGTTTGCAGAGAAGGAGCGGAGACTTGCCAGAGGACAGGACATATGCAGTGGCAGGTTCTGACTAGTCTCTGAGATCTGTTACTTCCAAAGGAAGCATACAACTTCCTCTGAATGATAGGAATTCTCTATGAGATGACACATTCAAGAATGTGTCTTGAGAATCTTTGAGAATGTCTATTTTTTAATGATAAGATTAGTAATTTTAGTGCAAGGAGTCAAGTAAAAATTAAGTAAGTCATCACCTTGGGATCACAATTCAGCGAAATTCAAGGTCCCAAGGATGATGATTCAACTCCAGTACCATGTTTCTTTTCTTAAAATCCAACCCTCCCTTATTTTTTACACAAAAGCCTACATGCTTCTGATAATTAGTACCAGTAGCTAACACTTTGTAAAGTGCTTACTTGGAGCCAGACACTGCTGAAAGCTATATACTATCATGCTAAATGATCTTTACACCACAGTGCTGTTTCCAGGACTCCAATCACCACCTGGTTCTCCTAACTACTTCTGAAGAAATTTAAAGTCAGAGCATAATGATTTCCACATAAAACATAAATGTTTTCAGGAAAGAGTCAGTAGTTCTAACCACTTCAAAACGGACCTATAATTTCAACCACTCGGGAAAATTGAACTTAAAATTTCTGTAATACAAGGGAAGACAGAAAAAGGGAAGGAAAAAAGTGTAGAGAACTCATTTTACGGTATGGGCTGTTGTAACCTCAAAGTGAACAAGCCTAAAAGTGAACTCATTTTATGTGTTTCTGATGAGGTATTTAGTGCCTCAAGTTTAGAGTACCTTCAGGTACCTATTTTAAATCTCAACCAACTCATAAAAGAGATCAGATGTTTTCATTTGTTGTTTAATCCATTAATTTGTTAAAAGAAAGGGGTGAGAATGATACATAGGTTGGGCTAATTACCATAGTCTTAAAATAACAATGATTAAAAATGATTCTGGAAGCTAGGCATGGTGGTGCACACCTGTAATGTCAGCATTCATGAGGCTGAGGCAGGAGGATCCTTAGTTTGAGACTGTCTCAAACAACAACACAACAACAACAACACTAGAATGCAATACCTTTAACACTTTTTATGAGAGAAAAAAACAGGAGTTGTAGTGAACTACCATACTGACTAGCATTGTTTGTTTTTGTTACATTTTATTTCTACTTATATTATAAATCCCCAGATAGAGTATTGTTATTTTAAACACTTTCATTTTAAAATGATAGAGATACAAGATAGCACTTCCTACTTACTCATATACCCTTTATCTTTAATATCTTTTTCTTAGTACAAGGAGGAAGGAAGACAATACTGAGCTAGCAATGCTTTTTTTTTTTTTTTCATGGATTCTATATATAAAGACTAATCCAGTGGCTTGGGCAGAAAAGGTTTTGTAATGTAAAGGATTTTAGAACTAACTCCACATTTGCCATTAAGTATGCTGGAGTAAATAGTTAAGTTTGTATTCTTCATTGCTAGTCAGATCCTAACCATACTTTAAGAATGTAACTAACAATTCACTTATTTGTTTATAATTTCATAGGAAATTATCAGTTCCTTGCCCAACATAATAAATGATAAATATGGAAGAAAGGTCTTGTTGTATTTACTGAGGCCCAGAGATCCTGCCCATACAGTCCGAGAAATCATTGAAGTTCTGCAAAAAGGAGATGGAAACGCTCACAGGTAAAAGCCAGTAGAATGTCTTGATTCTGCTATTCTTCTGCTCTGATCATTTGTTAATTCTGAGGAATACATGCTCCCAGAGGTCCACTTACACATATACACCTTCTCTCTTGCTCTGTCCTTCCCTCTCTCTCTGTACAACTTTTCAAAAGGTGAATTCCATTTTAAGCCCATAGTTTTCATGGAGTTTTAAGTTCTTGTCTTGAAAAGGAAATAAAAGTATCATGCCAAAAGAGTACCTCTGAGCACCTAGCACATCATAGGCACTCAGGTGTATGGTTTGATTTTGTTTGCTTTATTTTCAAAGCTACTGGTACCATGTATTTGAGTATGTAGAGAGTAGAGTCCATAAAGTATTGTAAATAGGTGCTATTTTTTGGGACGCTTATCTTTTAGATTTATTTGGGGTGTGTGCGTGTGTGTGTGTGTGTGTGTGTTGTGTGTTGCATAAGCCAGGCTTCATTTATTGAGTGCTTGTTCTGTGCCAGGTACCATTCAGATCTTGGGGCTGAAAAGATGAAAAACAGAACACATCCTGAAATCACTCATTCTCTACAAGCTCAACACAACTGAAGACAATTACAATAGTGTGACACAGACTCTGATAAGCTCTTAGAGTGGTAATAAGATCACACCATTTCCTTTGCCATTTACCTTAACTTACTACCTCATTCAACATATTCCGACAGTAAGAAAGATACAGAGATCCGCCGTCGGGAGCTCTTGGAGTCCATTTCTCCAGCTTTGTTAAGCTACCTGCATGAACATGCCCAAGAGGTGGTGTTAGATAAGTCTGCATGTGTGCTAGTGTCCAACATTCTGGGGTCTGTCACTGGAGATGTTCAGCCTGCCATGGATGTCATCGCTAGCTTGGCAGCAGCAGAACTACATCCGGGTGGCAAGGATGGAAAGGTAACCTGCTATTATAAAATGGGCAAGAAAGGCACAGGGGCTGTAAAATCTCCAGTCAGAAAAATCATCAGTAAGAAAGAGTTTTAGCAGTAATTGTGTGAGCTAACTTCATACCAACAGTACATATGAAAATTGTCCCTCAAAATGCCACATTGTTATAATACTTGTTTTTCTCAGAAACATGCAGTCATCCCATGTTGATATAGAGTTAAATAGTCATATTTTGGCACTCTGTTATCCATGATTGGCCTCATACCATCTGTCCAGAATACTCCATATTCTTAATTTCTATTGTGAATTTACTGTGACTGCTTCTTCCTTCAACATGGAACATTGCTTGTTTTTTCTATTTCCTTGTGCTCCATCTATAGAAAGCCTTCCTCATATAAGGTCCCCAGAATCCTCCATGAAGTCTTCCCTTCTCTCTCCTCATTAAATATTGTTTATTCTGATTGCTCCTGCTTATATTTATTGAGCCTCATATTATTCTGCATTGCATTTTAAGTTCCTTGATTCATGTACGTGACTTGTGTGGGGCAGTGGCCAGCACTGCCCTCTCAAAGCTTGCTATTTGGAGGACACACTACTTAAATACTTACACAAATAATTATTTAAGTTAAGTTAGTATTGAAATGAAAGCTATACAGGGTCACACGTTCTGTGGGATTGTGTAAGACCCAGCCTATCCCCCAGGAAGGCTTAGGCTGAGACCTGAAGAATTAGTATCTTAGTGAAGAATTTTAGAAGGATGACTCTAGTCTGAGAGAATGGTGTGTGCAGCATCCCTAAGGAAGGAAGGAGCAAGGCATGTTTGGGAACAGAAGGCATGGGGTTGGAAATCAGTGAACAAAGGAGGAGGAAGGCAGAGACCAGAAGACACAGGGTCTCTGACCTGTGTTGGCTTGTAAGCTCCCAAAGCTCCTAATCAGCAGATGTTCATGGGAAACCTACTGTTTTTCTGAGGCAGTGGCTTGAGAGTATGAAATAACTTTACTGAAGTTCTGTGTCTTTCATTCATTGAGCAAAGATGCAGTAAATCTGTCCTGAATACTTAAAAAGGTATTCAGAGATAAATACCTGCCCTTAGAGCTTGAGATCCATTGGAGAGACACAAGGTGTTCCAGTGCAAGGCAAGTGTTGTGTTTATATTCAGGATGGGGGGGAAACTGAGTAGTAACATCTGAATTTTAGTGACATCCAAGGACTTTTAATGAGTTTCGTGGGTAGTTCTAATGAATGACACTTTGGCTGCAAATGATAGAATGCCTCGTGGTAGCAGTTAAGTGCTAAATTATAGTAATAAGAAAAGTGGCGATATGCACACTACCAAATTCTGCCTTCCCTGTGCACTCTGTTTCTTGTTCTACCATCTTTGTGTTGTGTTATGGTCACAAGCTAGCTTTTACAATCTCATCCCATGTTCACACATCTGGGTCCCAAGTAGGCAACAAAGAAAAGAGCATTAAGGCGTTTTCTCTTGTGACTGAGAAGAAAGCCTCCAGACAGGCTTTTCTTACTTTGGCTAGAACTGAGTCACATCCACTTCTGGACCAATCTCTGGTAGAAATGACTGGATGGCCAGGACTGCATGAGACTAGTTAGGATGTAACTTCTGAGAGTGGGGAAGGTCCTGTAGCGAAAGCAGGTGGAGGGTGTGGTGTTAGCAGGAAGAAAGCTGGAGAAGGTGGTACCTGTTGAATAAACAGCTGAGAGCCTTTTCCACAGTAGCAATTATAATTGTATTCATCTTTAATCTCTTCTAATCATCTGGGATTTGGAAATGTTTTGGTTCTGAATAAAAATTACACCAAGTATTGAGTACCCAAGGGTGCTTCTGATGCATAGGATTGAGAAAGAGAGGTGGGCTGTGGATTGGAGAGAAGCACTGACTGCCTTTCTAGAGCTGATCATATTAACACATGGGAAAGATGAAGGCAGTGATTAGCATGGTCTCTGTAAGGAAATTGTGCCCATTGTTCCTCAAACTGGATAAGGGGAGACTCTAGGTATTGTGGGAACAATTGGTGTGGCCCTTAGAATGGAGTAAGGCTGAAATGCAGAATGCTTTCTTGGCCTGCTCCCCAGAACTTTATAGTCATTTGTATTTAAGCATCATTCAGCATTAGGTTTTCATGTTTTTACTGTCTCAACTCCATGTTGCCATTAGAAAGTCCTCAATGAGCATAATTTTAGATGAGCATTATGGTGGTGCTATTCAGATTCATCAAGCTGAGACCAGACTTCCTTGCCAGGGGTTGCATTCTCTTACATAACCACATTCATTTCAGCCTGGTCAGTAGCATAGATTGCAGATGTCTCTAGATATGATGGGTGTTCTAGATAAAGACCTCTTAAACCTTGCAGAACCTGCAACTTGGCTGAGTACTTATCTACATGTGTTGGTAAAGATTGAATTATGGGCCAAAGATGGATAAAAACAGCTTTTTGAATTAACATATTCCTGATGTCTTATAGCTTCATGTTGCCGAACATCCTGCAGGACATCTTGTTCTGAAGTGGTTAATAGAGCAAGATAAAAAGATGAAAGAAAATGGGAGAGAAGGTAGAGTGTGCTTCTGGAACTTTTCTTGTGTCTTATGGGGAATTTCTGCAATGCTTGGTATACTTGGACTTTACACTAGTCATTTAAGTTCACATGAAGTTTGTCTAGTGTTTAGAAATGATGTCTGTAAATAAGAAATGACTTACTGGTTGGGAATAATGCTTTTTCCCCTAGGAACTGTGTCCAAGATTCCTTTAAATTTGTTTCTTTCCTTCCCATTCTTACTTTCTCCTCTCTCTTCTGCTACTTCAGATTTTTAAGTGAGCTTGATGAGTACCCTAAAATGCCATTCTGTTCCTTGAGGATGGTGGAGCATTGCCTCCAATTGAAAGGCATGATTTTTATTTGCAGTTTTGAGAAAAGATATATGCAGAAGAAAAGTATCCTCATCAGAGAATCTTGGACAGGTTCCTGTTTGTTTAGCATTGAAATACATGTGACCAAAGAGCAAGCCTGTCCTTGGTACTTTCTGCTTCTTTAAAAATAAGCGTTATAGCTATTCTGCAGAAATTCAGCTGTAAAGAGTAAGACAGCACCTTTTGTCTAACTGCAAAGTTGCATACCAGTCCCATACCAAATCCTGTCTTTAACCATACAAAATTCTTAACTCTTACTAAATCCAAACTCCTTCTGATATTTAAGTCACTAAGGAGATTTCCCCCACAGAGTTGAAACAGTTTGGGCTTTCCATTACTGTAGCTAAAGAAAGTAATATCATAAGTTTCTGTCTTGAGACTGGAGGGGTAACTCAAGTGGTAGGTAAGTGGCTGCTTTGTAAGTGTGAAGACCTGAGTTCAAACCCAGTCCCACCAAAAAAATTAAAAAGATTTTATGTCTTGAGCCAAGTTCTGTGGCTAGTGAGGCCCTTAGTATGGCAGTAAAACTGTCACTTCTCATTCTCCCTTTAAGAACAGGACTTGGAGCTATTTTTCACTGCTAATTTTTAATAAATGATGCCGCTTATACTGTTGAAGAAACAACATAATGAAACATCTTTATCAGTATTGAAAACGTTAATATATAATTGAGTTTATGGCAGGGAAAGTGTTAAAGTCCAAGGAATTTCTAGTGGTTTTTCTTAATGAAAATGTGCTGACAAAGGTGGGACTTGTGACTCATGCCTGTAGTGCCAACACTCGCGAGGCTGAAGCAGGAGGGTCAAGAGTTTGAGGCCAGCCTAAGTTATATAGGAGTCCCTGTCTCATATTTCTCTCTGGGCCTGATGTGTTTGTCATTTTCAAGGAGCACCAAGTGGGTGTGCCTAGCTGTTTTGATTGTTGATGTGTAATAAGCTACCTCAGAATTTAGTAGTTTTCAAAGCGTTTGTTTGATTGGATCTTGGTGGAGCTTGCTTCTGCTCTCATTTGGGGTTGCTAGGTTTGGAATTGGAGTATCCACTGTTATAGCAGGGCACTCACAAGGCAGGCAGGTTGGTATTGCCTGTTTGTTAGGAAACAACAGAATCAGTTCTTCCTAGGCTACTTGGGCTTCCTCACAATATGTTGTTTGGTTCTTTCATGGTTTATCCTCAGAAGTCATCTGATATCACTTTTACCATGTTCTGTCACTCAAAGTGACCAGGCCCACCCCGATTCAAAAGGAGAAGATACAGATTCTGTGTCTGTATGAGGGAGTACCATATTCTAGAAGTGCACACAAAACACCTTAAGAAAACAAGGTGCCTCACTAGCTGATCTCTGTCCCTCTTTAAGCAGGTACAATGGAAGACTAGATAGATAAAGGCCTAATGGCTTTTAAAGTGTCCTTATACTTGGGAATCTTTGAATGGATTTTGCATGCTATGTAAGCAAGATGTTTGCCTTCAAGACAGGTTAACCCTTCTTCCATCTATACTAAATCCCTGCCACTTGAATTTCTACTTTGTCCAAGAATGTTTGTACTTAGATGGCACAGTTAAGATTATACCAAGAACTTGGGAATAGAAGTAGTAGAGTGAAGATGAATGGTATTTTTGATGTATGAATATCTAAGCATTGCAGAGAGAAATTGCTAGGTGGAATCTAGACTAGTCATTTTTGAGCCATTAACTGTTTTTGTGCAGCTTCTAGGTGACCATTCTTCCATGAGGGAAGACATGATTTCAGCCAAACACAAGGTGCTGCTGTCAAACATTTACTTCCTGAATAGCTTTCAGGTCAGGGTTAAGTCATTAAATACTACAAAGAAATGCAAACATGACCAAGTGAGCCTTTTTAAGGATTCCTTGGCTTTTTTTAAGAGGTAAAGTCTAAACATAGCTTAGAATTTGGATCAGAGTTTAAAAGAAATGGCTATATTATGCATTATATAAACCTACATTGTATTTTTAGTGTTAAATGAGATTGGGTAAGAAATCTTTTTACTAGCTTTTTTATTAACGCATAAGCTTAAGGGTGATAGAGGACTAGGAGTTTGTATATGATGTTCACTTAAATTTCTGTAAATTTTGCAGGTTGTTTTGCAAAAACACTTGTAAAACATGTTGGTATGAAGAACTTGAAGTCCTGGGTTAGTGTAAATCGAGGTGCAATTATTCTTTCCAGGTATGTATAATTTGTGTTTTTCAGTTCTACTATTTGTACACAATAGTCTGTTATTATTCTTGTTGCTCGTGGTCTAGACATGTACCAAATAGTAGAAGGCAAAAGTAGCTCTTTCAGTCACCTTAGGATTCCTTGGATGTCAAAGACACAGAATTATGACATTCACAGGGTATCATATGGTTTCAACACACGTAGGATGAAAAGCATATTTTTTTTTCTTAGTAAATAAGTTGTGTCCCTATGAAAACTGTTACAAAGTTGTTTACTAACTTTACATATAATTTTCTCTCCTTGTTTTTAGTGGTTCTAAAAGAATTGGAAAAGGATTTGTTACTAAAATCTGTATGTTCATTGTTTATTTCTAACTTAAAATGAGAGAAAACTGACCCCTCTTACATATTGTTCTCTGGACTTAGTTGAGTTTATAATTTACAGGTCACTGAAATTTCCATGCATTTTATGCCCAGATGAAACTCTTTGGTTAAAAAACATTAATTTTGTAAGATGTGTTTGTTGCATTGGACAATCAGTCACTTGCTTTTCTTTCCTGCTGTGTTACCAGGGTTTCAAAAAACAAATACTAATCCTAGTTTGATTTTCTGACCATACTTTCACCTTGCTATGAGATTTAACTTTGTTGTTTGCAAATGTTAGGTTAAACGTTTCTTCAGTATGTAATTTGATCTAGTACATATATACTCATACACACACAGACACACACATGAGCATTAGTATCTTCCAGTAGATCAGTCGGTTTCCAAATACATGAGTGTTACATACATCATTTTGTTCATTTCTCATTAAAATTTGTTAATTTTCCAGTTGATGTTGAATAGTCAGAATCTATTAATAGAAACATGAAAATTTTTTTTGTCAGGAATTTCTTTATCAGGCTTTTAGAATGTTCACACCTACTGACACAGTCCTTCATTAATTGTACTCAATTAAATAGAAATTTCAGTGATGCCATGAGATTAATTTATAAAGGATGCTCATCAATCTGAGTTCCCTTGGGTAGATTTCAAACGTAAAAATAATACTGTAGGTTTATTATGTAGCACTGTGTGTAACTGATACAGAAACAAAATATTTATTTGAGGTTCTAAATGGAAGTTAAACTATATATAACTTCACAATTCAGTAATTGTTTTTGTTTAGTTTTTTAATATTTTAATATAGTTTGCTCATTTGGTAAGAGTCCCTGCTTGTTTATGTTTTACTTAAAACTCATATTTTCCTTTTGAAATTTCTTGATATTGATGCATTTGTTACTGTTTTTACTCAAGCTTTCTACAGTAACTGAAAAGCATTTGGGGTGAAAAAAAAATCAGCATTTTATACTGGCTAAAAATTAACTCAGGAAAGCAGAATTCCCTAGAATTCTGACTCTAGACAGATTGCCTGAGTTCCATGATTAGCTTACTGTGTGGCCTTGGGAAAATTATTAAACTCTTGCCTTTTCATGGTTGTAGAACAAGGTTAATAAGAATCCTAAAGTTGTCATAAAAAGTAAGTGTATAAAATGCCTCTCAGTATGTCTAATATGTGGCATATGCTCACTAGATGTTAACTTAAATTAGCGTTATGTAACTGTGTTTAGCCAAGGTGTATAAAATAAAAAACACCAAGTGAGTCACAGACCCATTAAAAGGGCACTTTACTTTTCACCTTTTTTCAACTTTACAGGTGGCAAGTTGTAGAGTTGTTTGTCTCCCACAAGCAGCAGAACTCTGCTTAGTGCTGATAACTTATCCTTCTCTTTATTGACAAGATGGAAGTTACCAGGATGGGGGACTTTGGAAAGGGCCAAGTGATTTCCTTCTAGAATATGTTTCAGAGGTCAGCATTTACACAAATTCAGGCCTGATATTCTGTGGTCAGGTGCCTATGAACTAGCCCCTTTTAAAGAGGGTTGGGCCTGCTGTTACTACCCTCTAGGGCTTCACTCACTGTGGTGGTAGACTATTTGGATAAGGTTTCAGAAAGCAAAGACTGGGATTATTTTGTTTAATGGCTAACATTTATTTAGTATTTACTAAATGTCAGCCTCTGACTTTAGATACAGGATCATTTAAGCCTCAAAAAACAATTCTGTAGGAGCTGAGGGTGTAGCTCAGTGGTAGAGCAAGTGAGTGCTTAGCCTTCTCAAAGCCTTGGGTTCAGTTCCTAGTCCTAAAACATCCCTTTGAGGGAAAAGGCAGTTCTGTTGTTAATCCCATTGTACAGTTACTGGATGACAGAAGCAGGTTTCATACCCAAGCAGTGAAGTTCGGGGTCAAGCTGTTCCCTCCCTCCTTCACCAAATGTAGGTTTGTCGTTCAACCACACCTTTCCTCTCTGTACACTCATTCAGTTGGGTAAAGTTAGCTACTCAGAGAGCCTTCCTTAGCCATCTGCTCTACACATGTGGTACTATGAAATAAAGAAATAAAATATAAGTTCTCTGCTGTTAATCTTATAATCTGGATAGGGATAAAAGATATAATATATACAGAATAATTTTAGGCAGGATATAATTAAGTCCTAAAATAATCAGAGTCAATCAAGTCTTTGCTTCAGTAACTCTACCTGCACAATTATCAAGCATTTTTATGTGGTTTAGAATATAGGGTGCTCTCATTCATCTGGTGAATTTAAAAAATATATACTTATGTAGTTATAGGACTGGACTCACAGTGGATTCTTTCATACTGTAGGTATTACAGATTATCTAGGGTTTTTTATGAAACTTAATTTTTATTACTTTTCTTTCTCTTTAGCCTTCTTCAAAGTTCTGAACAAGAAGTTGCAAACAAAGTCAAAGCTGGACTGAAAAGCCTGATTCCCACATTGGAAAAAAACAAAAACACCAGCAAAGGAATAGAAACTCTGCTGGAAAAACTGACTACATAGATGGAAACAGAACAGATTCATTCAGTTTTCCCATTCTCTGTTCTGTTTTTCTGGTTCAGAAAAGGACATGGTCCACTTTACTGGTAATCTGCAAGCCCCCTTTGTATAAGAATACGTTTATAAAAATTATTTCTAAAGATGGTCTCTTTTTTTTTCTTTTTTTTAATCCCAGCTATTTCCTTTATCATTGAGTAGTAAGCAAATCACAATGGCAAGGCAATCATGTGGAAGGCTTATCAATCATATATAGTGGTGGGACCAAATATCTATAAAGTGTGGTTAAATGAGAAATGACTTGATTTGGGAAAGAGGGTGCTTTCAGAGAGTAGTAATCTGAAAAGGCTTTCTGGAGGAGGTAGATCTTGAGAGGACCATTGTGCCAAAGGAAGGCAGGATATGGAAAAGAAGGGTTAAGGGAAGACTCTGGTAGGAGCAGTAAGATGGAAATTAATGGCTTTGAACTGAACTTCAGAAGGCCTTGGGAACACCCTGCAATGAAGGCAGCTGCATTTCTAGCTGTTCTATGGTTTGAATTCCATGTTAAGTTTTGTTTGAAAGCCATTCAAGTAAGTTATGCTCATGTTGAGAAATGTGCTAGATGAATAAGGAGACCACAGGAGATGGTAGTGTCAAGGTCAGGGTCACTGAAAAAATTTCCTGTCTCTGTATTTTTGCCCTCCAAGTAAATAGCTCCCTTTGATGAGACATTCTCCCTTGGAACGGCCCCTAAAATAGTCCATAGTGTTTGAGTAAAAAGGGAAAAGATGCAAATTTGTTACAGTGCAGAAGTTTGAGTACAGAGGTAGGATGTTTGGGTTTTAAAACTAGGTTTGGTTTTTAGCTACAAAGGTTAGAAGGGGTGTAGATCAATCAGACTTATGTAGCCATGCTGCATTCAATACAAAGCCTTGATCCTTTCTTCAAGTATGGTGTAACACAACACCAATTTGAGTCCACTGTAGTTATAACTGAGGGAGAATTGGCTGTTTCTTTCCTGTCCAGACTATAAGGTCCTAGCACTGCTCCCAACCTAGAGGTAGCAAGGTTATCTCCTATTCTCCTGCCAGGTTGTTTTGAACCCTTTCCAGAGAGCAAAAGAGCTAATACCCATAACTTTTGGTATAGATCTCTTCCTCATTGCCACCCAACTGAGTCTCAGGGTATCGGGTGGGATAGCTAGGGGAACTGGGAACAGGGTCAGGAGGTGAATTGGGGAAAAGACAACAGTAGAGCTTGCCTTTGTTTGACTAATACATTGTGATTTGTCTTCTTCATTTAAAGGGCCCATTCAGAAAGAATAATAAGCACATAATTTGAAAAGTACCTTTGTAAACCTTGTAACAAAAAGCAGCCACCTCTGCCCGGTGCTCTGACCCTGCCTCACCCTCTTCAGAACAATTTCCAGTTGTTTTAGTTCTGGTTAATTTCTAAATGTAGCTTTTTATGATGTATACTTTAATCTTAATCAGTTTTAGGTATTTTCTTCTGATATAAATTAAGAACTTTATCACCACTATTCTTCCACTTCTTCACCCTCTCTCTTCCTAGTAGACCTGGATCATTTGTGATGAATCAAAAGAGGTTATATTATTGGGCCTACATAAATTGTTAAATATTAAATCAAGTAGTAACTGTCATTTCATTTCATTTCCTCTACCAGTTTATTTTTCCTAGAATTTGTCATTGTCTCATTTTCATTTACTTAGTTTTCTACAGATTTTTAATTTTTTCCCAAAACTTTTTAACCAGAATTTCTTAAACTTCTTTTTGTAGACTTCACTAGCAACTGTGCAACAGGCATTTTCCTCTTTTTTTTTTAAGCCTGGAGAGGGTATTCTGGTGTCTCCTTTCCATGTACTCAGATATTCTGAGTGGTATAATTTAGTGTTTCCCAATCACTATGTCTCAGGTGGGTCATAAATGTGAGACTACTTATCCAGCCATACACCTGTTTCCCTTGTGTGAATTGTGCAGAAGAAAACAGTATGAACTACTCCTGGGGATCTATTCCTGAAGTCAGTGAATAGGAAGGAGCCTATCCAGTGAACCTTGAAAGATAGGTTGTATTCCTGGGCAAGGTTTCTGAGACCCCAGATATACTGGAGAAGTTCCTTTATTGCCCACCAACTTTTGTTTGTGAGGCTAGGATACCTGGAGATGTTATACCATCTCACAGCCAAGAGAGAAGATAGCAAACATTCTGAGGGTGACTGAGCAAGAGGTAGAAACAATCTGGAATTTTGATGATATTGAGCTGCTGTATAAATCAAGTGGACTTACAGTAGCCTTGCGTTTCTGGTTTTATGAAAACATAGACCTCTGTTTTTGTTTAGGTCATTGTGAATTGTGTACTTAGAAACTTGTACCCAAATACATGTTAACTTGATTGTATGAATACTAACTTTCAAACTATCCAACACATCAGGTCAGTTACCACTTCCACTTTCTCCTGAAGACACCCCTCCTGACTTTCTGTATGTCCTTCTGGAAGTCCACCACCATCATCATGCACCTTCCTTTTACTCCTTTGGAAAGCCCATTTCTCCTGTCCCATGCTTAACACCTTTAATTGTATGAATGGGTCACACCCTTTTCCAGGCTTCTTGTGAGGTAAATCCTGACAAGTCTGAAGGTCTGTTTTACTCTTTCACACCCAGACACTTACTTAGTTTAGCTGAATATAGAATTCTAGTTTAAAATTAATTTTGCTCAGACTTTGAAACCCTTGATCAATATTGTCTTTGTTGTACAGAATTATAGTGGAAGTCCAATCCCATCTTTATTCTCAGTCTTTTTTGGCAGGGGGTGAGTAGAGACTTTAAGCTGATAGCATTTTTAAGAAATCCCCAGCCTTCTCATATTTCAGGATCATATGTATTGGCATATGTCATATATGACTTTTTCACTCTCCCTGCTTGGTACTTTGTGAACTATTTAAATGAGAAAAGCCAAAGTCATTTAATTCTTGGAAATTATTTTGTATTTCTCTGATTTTTTACACCCTTCCCCACCCTCATTTTCTTTTATCTGTCTTTTAGAAACTTATTATTTGAATTTTGAGTGGTGTTTTGATCCTTTCTTATATTTTCCATTTGCTTGACTTTTTGTTTTGCGTTCTGAGTGAAATACTTCCTTGACTTTTAGTCTGTCGGCCTTTCAGTGACGTGTCTTATTTCTTGGATGCAGTATCCCTTATGGCTATCTGTAGGTTGTGTTTTATGGTAGGTCGTTTTGTTTTGCTTAGCTTCTTCTCTGTTGTCTGCTCTGTTTGTTTTCCTCTCGGTTTTTGATGCTTTCCTGGAGAGGTCTTTGGCTGGGTATACATATTGCAGGTACTTGAAGTTTATTAAGAAAGGAGATGGGCTTTTTTAGTTCTTTACTGCTAACTATTGTGTGGGTGATTAGGTGTGGATCCTACCTTTTCATGGAGGTCCTCAGGTGTCAGTGTCTATAGACCTTTTTGTTGCAGCAAGTTAGTACCTTCTGGAGAGCAGTCCACCCACAAACAGCCTTCCACTGACTTAGTACTCAGTGTGCAGGTTTTCAGGGACCAACTTACTTTCAGTACAGTTCCTCTCATGCTCTTGAGAGATTGAACCAGCATAAGTACACAAAATATACCACCAGCCTTCTGTTGGGATAGGGGGTGGTAGTCAAGCAGTTCAGGCCAGTACCCCTGTTTTCCATGCCTGGACTCACCCAAGCCTCCCCCAGGACATGGTACCTCTTGTTGCTGGGGTTTTCTGGTACATTCTAGTGAGAACTGACTTGCCCTGTGCTTGCGCTGGGTATTCAGCTTTCTTCATTCTGCACCTTTCACCACTGCTTCCTGTTCTTCCAGGTATTTGGTGCTGTGGCTCATCTACTGTTTACTTTGTCCTGTTAGTTTCTACCATTTTCACTCCTTCAGTCCTGTGTTACTATGCATTTCACCATTGTTGTATTACTATACAACAATACACCATTTTTAAGGCACAGTATGCAAATGGCTTTAATCAGCAAACTTCAAACTTGGTTTAATGGAAGGCTGCTTTTCCATGAAAAAGCTTACATGATTTGGAAATGTCCAGAATTAGAAAACTCAGCTGATTATAGTTTTCAATTTTTATTAACTCTGCTTTTTACAGAAACCAGATGTTCATAAAGAAGGAGATCCCCATTTTTCCCTTAAGTCTGACATAATAACATTTCCACAATGGAATAAGGACCTCCTAGAGGACATGGCTTCCTACATGACCACACTCAGGACTGCGTCTTAAGATAGGAGTTGGTACTTTTATTTGTAGTTTCAGTGAAATTTGGAGAGAGTTATATCTTAATTATAGTAGATTCATCTTTTAAGAGGAAAGACTTGAGTGTTGCAAAGGAGGCATGTGTGTTCAGAATAATCATTGAGAGAACAAAAGGTCTCAGAGCAGCAGTTAGTTCAGAGCCAGTTACCGTAAACTATTTTAAGCCTAAAGTGGATTGTACAAACACAAAACAGTCACTGAAGCTCTTCTCCTACCTCTGATAGTGTTTAGCCTAAAGAAATAACTTTATAATCATCTCCATCTTTTCTAAATGTAAAATGCCACCAAGGTGCCCCCAAATGCCTTAGTTTTTTCCTAGAGGGATGAAATTTTAAGATGTTCAAATGAACAGCGTTGGCTAGGAGACACTGTGTACTCTTTGAATTGCCTGTCTTTTATGCTTGGTAACTAAATGACTACGCTGGATTCCAAAATGTGTGAAGATGTTGATTGCTGTGTACATGTTCGTACCCAAAATAGTGACTTAGAAGACACTGGAAATGCCTCCACTCCCATCCTTGTAAAGGTGAAAATGTCTTGTTCATTTATAAAAATGTTTTATTTAAGTTGTAGGCATGGACTCCTGCCCATTGCTAAATGGAAGTAGACAAAGCTGTAAAAACATGGGAATGAGAAATTTTGGCTTAAGCGCTCTTATTCTTAGGGAGTTAATTACATCTTGGTAGGAAATAATTACCTCTTAGTAGTGCCTGACATGTGACAATTACTTGAATAGAAGGTGATAGGAGTTTGGTAAGGTCATGAGAATCATCTGACTTTGTGCTCTTAATGACTATAATTA